TTAGTTGGATTCTGTCTTCTTGCCTTGATACTATTTGCTACCACCACCTCATTTCAGAAGTATTCTTAAAATAAAAGAAGGAAACTTCTTTTCCTTGACAAGACCAAGAGGTCGTCTTGATTATAAGTGTTTTGGAAAAAGGTTTTAGATAACATGTTTTAGTTCCACTGATGATGGAACGTAAGTTACTCAATAAGCCTAAAGATTTTTTTATTTATTTGATTCTGGCTTGTGTTAATGCATATGATACAATAATATTAAATTCATCCGGTGCTGTTTCTTCTCTCTTGCTTCTGCTGTTTACCCTTTTCTTTGTCCTGCTGCTTCCTTTTCTTTTGCTTTTCTGTTAGTCATTTAGCTGAAAGTTATTGTAGGCGAAGAAGACAGATGAGACACTTGAGGAATGACTTTCTATTTGTAATTCTAGACTCGCTGGGAGTTAAATTTCTCAGCATAAAGAATCAGGAGATTCTTTAATTATAACATTAATGTGGCATTTGGATGTGTCACAGAAATTGAAATGGTGGACATGTGGTTCAGTTTAGGGCTTATCTGTGTATTGATCATTTTTGTCTATCAGTCGTCTTGCAATGAAATATTCGTTTGATGTATAAAACTAAAATTTCTTTTTTATTTCAAAGGTTCTAGGCTCTTGTACTTTGATGAATATTTATAGCTTTTATTTGTAAGGTATTTCTGGAATGTTAGTCAAGATTTTGAGTTGAATTTAGGCTTATCAAAGATTTAATATATTGAAAATTAGCTGCTTGGATTGCTTGAAGAATTTTACTTAGTTCATGTTGCTATAATGTTAGCTAATATTTTTCATATTCATATATATATAGACATGCATATTTCAAGTTAAATCCTACTCATCAGCATCTTTAAATTATACTTTTGTTGTCTGGTTTATTTTTTAAAATACTATTTGACAATTGTTTTATGTGTTGGAAAATTAGTTTATCATTTAGTCAGTGTAGAAATCTTTCTTATGTACCTGTGACTTGCCTGTTTTTCAAGAGACCGTGGTTAAAACAGTATTGAATTTTACTTGGCTGTCTTTTTAAAGTATAAAAGTAAATAGGGATTTTTGTTCAAATTTTCACCATTAGACTGGTTTCAAGGTAAAAGTAATAAATTCAGTTTGTCAATTTGAAAATACTGGAAATTCCGTATTAGCGTCTGATAAATGTCATACAATTTAGTGACTAACTTTACCTAGATCAAGTCTGTGGCCAGCCAGTTGTTTCTGTAAAAAGTTCTTTTTTTAATGAACATAACTGCATTCATTGATCTATATATATGTCTTCTATGGTTACTTTGACACTGGAAGGGCAGAGTTGAGTAGTTGAAATAGCTGAGAGGAAAAAAGAAATAGCTGAGAGAGAGCATATAGAGTTGGCCTGTAGTGTTTGCCGACCACTGCAGATACATGAGTTTTTACGTTTTTCAGTTGTTATAAGAGTGAGTTTTTAAGCTGAATCTTTGACGTGCAGTGTGCAGGTTTAAGGTATACAGCTCGTTACTCCGGTACATTCATACATTGTAATGTGATTGCCTGTTGTAGCCAAGTTTGTCACATTACAGAACTGTGCACTTGTTGTTGTTGAGTCACTAAGTTGTGTTCGATTCTTTTGCGACCCCATGGACTGTAGCCCATGAGGCTCCTCTGGCCACAGTATTTCCCAGGCAGGAATAAAATTCATCCGGTGCTGTTTCTTCTCTCTTGCTTCTGCTGTTTACCCTTTTCTTTGTCCTGCTGCTTCCTTTTCTTTTGCTTTTCTGTTAGTCATTTAGCTGAAAGTTATTGTAGGCGAAGAAGACAGATGAGACACTTGAGGAATGACTTTCTATTTGTAATTCTAGACTTGCTGGGAGTTAAATTTCTCAGCATAAAGAATCAGGAGATTCTTTAATTATAACATTAATGTGGCATTTGGATGTGTCACAGAAATTGAAATGGTGGACATGTGGTTCAGTTTAGGGCTTATCTGTGTATTGATCATTTTTGTCTATCAGTCGTCTTGCAATGAAATATTCGTTTGATGTATAAAACTAAAATTTCTTTTTTATTTCAAAGGTTCTAGGCTCTTGTACTTTGATGAATATTTATAGCTTTTATTTGTAAGGTATTTCTGGAATGTTAGTCAAGATTTTGAGTTGAATTTAGGCTTATCAAAGATTTAATATATTGAAAATTAGCTGCTTGGATTGCTTGAAGAATTTTACTTAGTTCATGTTGCTATAATGTTAGCTAATATTTTTCATATTCATATATATATAGACATGCATATTTCAAGTTAAATCCTACTCATCAGCATCTTTAAATTATACTTTTGTTGTCTGGTTTATTTTTTAAAATACTATTTGACAATTGTTTTATGTGTTGGAAAATTAGTTTATCATTTAGTCAGTGTAGAAATCTTTCTTATGTACCTGTGACTTGCCTGTTTTTCAAGAGACCGTGGTTAAAACAGTATTGAATTTTACTTGGCTGTCTTTTTAAAGTATAAAAGTAAATAGGGATTTTTGTTCAAATTTTCACCATTAGACTGGTTTCAAGGTAAAAGTAATAAATTCAGTTTGTCAATTTGAAAATACTGGAAATTCCGTATTAGCGTCTGATAAATGTCATACAATTTAGTGACTAACTTTACCTAGATCAAGTCTGTGGCCAGCCAGTTGTTTCTGTAAAAAGTTCTTTTTTTAATGAACATAACTGCATTCATTGATCTATATATATGTCTTCTATGGTTACTTTGACACTGGAAGGGCAGAGTTGAGTAGTTGAAATAGCTGAGAGGAAAAAAGAAATAGCTGAGAGAGAGCATATAGAGTTGGCCTGTAGTGTTTGCCGACCACTGCAGATACATGAGTTTTTACGTTTTTCAGTTGTTATAAGAGTGAGTTTTTAAGCTGAATCTTTGACGTGCAGTGTGCAGGTTTAAGGTATACAGCTCGTTACTCCGGTACATTCATACATTGTAATGTGATTGCCTGTTGTAGCCAAGTTTGTCACATTACAGAACTGTGCACTTGTTGTTGTTGAGTCACTAAGTTGTGTTCGATTCTTTTGCGACCCCATGGACTGTAGCCCATGAGGCTCCTCTGGCCACAGTATTTCCCAGGCAGGAATACTGGAGTGGGTTGCATTTCCTTCTTTAGGGGATTTTCCTGACCCAGGGATCAAACCCGTGTCTCCACCATTGACAGATAGATTCTTTGCCACTGAGGCACCTGGGAAGCCCAATTGTAAAATATTATCGTCTCTATCAGTATACTGTACATAAGAGCTCTGTGGTTTATTTACTACTTGTTTCAAGTTTGTACCCTTAAAGACCATCAGTCTTATCCCCACCTTGCATCCCCTGGTAACCACCATTTTACTTTTTTTTTTTTTCATATATAAGTTTGCTTTTTTATTTTTCACATTTAAGTGATACCATAAAGTACTTTCTCTGTCTGACTTACCTGGTTTAGCATAATGGGTTCAAGGTACATCTGTGTGGATATCCATCTTTATCATGGCTGAAATATTCCATTGTGTATATGTATGTATCATATCTTTTTTCTCCAGTCATCTGTTGATGGGCATTTGGATAGTCATTAGAGTGCTTTGAGACATTTTCTCTTCCTACTTCTCTTCAGGGTCCTTTAGCTGCCGTGTTTATTGAAGGGACTCCTCCCTAACTTCCCTTCAGCTACCCTTATCTCCACCACAAATTCACTCCCCTTCATTTCACTCCCACAGTCATGCTTCAAGAACTGAATGCTCTATTTTCCTTTGGCTGTGCCGTGCTGCTTGTGGAATCTTAGTTCTCCACCAGGGATGGAACTCGGACCTGCAGCAGTGAAAGAGTCTTAACCAGTGGACTGCTAGGGAGTTGCTCAAAATTGAAATCTTTACTCCACTCTTTTCTAAATAAAATCCAGACACCACTTGCTCTGACTTTCATGTTGTTTCTGACATACTGAATTACTTGCCTTTCATTTCCATCTTGAAAGTGAAAGTGTTAGTAGCTCAGTCGTATCTGACTCTTTCAGACTCCATGGACTGTAGACCACCAGACTCCTCTGTCCATGGGATTCTCCAGACAAGAATACTGGTGTGGGTAGCCATTCCCTCCTCCAGGGAATCTTCCTGAACAAGGGATTGAACTTAGGTTTACCATCTGAGCCACCAGGGAAGCCCCTTCCATCTTATGTCCATGCATTTATATCCAAAGTAGAATATCTTAATATGTCTAAATTAGAATGCCCTTCTCTCCTTTCTTTGTAAATATAGCCTACTTCAAAACTCATTTCCAGAACCCAGAACTATTCAGACCATGTTTCTGATGCCACTCCTGAGTCTCTGTCTGCTCTCTCAAACATCTCCTTTTTGCCTGTCACAAGCAGACGTTGTATATTCCTTCTTTTTTGTTACCACTGTGCCTCATGTGTAAGAGTTATTTCACTTTTATATGTTATATTTTTGTTAATGTCTTTTCTTCCTTGTAGGCTGTGAGCTCAAGGATGATTTTATCTGCCTCTTGTTCTTAGTGTTTATTAGCATGTTACCCAGCAGGTATTTGTTAAATAAATGATTAGATTAATAACTTCACCTTGTATACATTGTATAATGTATGTTTTAATTTTTCTCTTCTATGCTTTTTGGAAGGCAGATGCCTTTAAAGAAATTAATATGATCCATGTATCTTTTTTTTTTTAAATATAGGTTTATAGAGCAAAACCACTTAGGTCTTGTTTTCTGATTTGGCACTCTATACAGCAAGGGGTAGAATTCCCTTTAGAATATCTAAATCTTACCAAATCCCTGATGTGAAGTTTTGATCACTATTCACAATGACTCTAATCTTTAATATAAACATTTTGAAAATATAACCTGATCTGAGATAAATTTGGTAACCAGGCAAGCATTTCTGTTTGTATTTGGAAATATGCGTGTGATATTCTTCATTAAATCTGAATAGTTGTGTTTTTCCATGTTTCATTTCTAGGTGCAGGACATATGCTTCAGCCATGACTGCCGCTGGGTTGTGGTCAGTACACTCCGGGGCACTTCCCATGTTTTCCCGATCAACCCTTATGGTGGCCAGCCTTGTGTGCGAACACATATGTCGCCACGAGTCGTGAATCGTATGAGTCGTTTCCAGAAGAGTGCTGGGCTGGAAGAGATTGAACAGGAACTGACATCTAAGCAAGGAGGTCGCTGTAGCCCTGTCCCAGGTCTATCCAGCAGCCCTTCTGGATCCCCTCTGCACGGTAAACTCAGTTTTCTCTCTCTTCACTGTTCCCAACAGTCCTTCTCCCCTTTACCTTTAATTTTTGAGATCTGGAATAAAATAAACCCATTTTTCTAATCTGTTCATACAAAGAAGATCTTGGGTTCATTTGAGGACATTCTTAATATATTAAATCATTTAATAAATTGAAATAATGGTGATGATCATTACCATGATATTTTAACTCCCTAACTTTTTCACTGTATAAGGATTACTTGATGCCATGTATATGGAATATGGTGTTCAAGACCGTTTTTGTAAATTTAGAGATTGAATTTTTTATCTGTAGATCTTTTCCAGAAAACTCTGGCTTTAACCAGAGTCAGTTCATTAAGAAATATCTATTGTTGGAGAGGGATAGTCTTGAGTCATACATATTTTAGAGCAGCATTTGCATTTTATTTTAATATACACCTCTGTGGGATTTCTATTAATGTATTGCAAAAAAAAGCCCCCCAAATCCCAAAGACATGTGTAAGTCTATACTTGAGAGAAAATACTTGTATAACCATCATCCTAAACAGTAAATGAAACTTCAGAACTCCATTTTTGTGTCCCCTTCCTGTAAAAGCAAACCATGATTCTGACTTTAGGGTAATCACTTCCCTACTTTTAAAAAAGTGAACTTTTGCTCACTATTGTTTATGAGATTAATTCATTTATTTCCATTTCTGTTACATATTCCATTTGTATAAGTATGTTTCTACTTATTTATTTATCCTTTCTCCAACTGTTGATTTATATTTTGGTGGTTTCTTGTGGAGTTCTTATGTATAATGAAGATAATGAAAATGTTGGTACTTGTTTCATAGTGCAAATTTTTGCTCATTTTTGAGTGGAAATACTAGGTTACAACATATGCAAATCGTAACTTTGGTAGGTATTACCAGAGTAGTTGTAGTTATTTTCTTAGACTCTAAAATCACTGCAGATGGTGACTGCAGCCATGAAATTAAAAGATGCTTGCTCCTTGCACAAAAAAGCTGTGACAAATCTAGACAGCAGAGACATCACTTTGCTGCCAAAGGTCTTTATAGTCAAAGCTATGGTTTTTCCAGTAGTCATGTACAGATGTGAGAGTTGGACCATAAAGAAGGCTGAGTACTGAAGAATTGATACTTTCGAATTGTGGTTCTGGAGAAGACTTCTGAGAGTCTCTTGGACTGCATGGAGATCAAACCAGTCAGTCCTAAAAGAAATCAATCCTGAATATTCATTGGAAGGACTGATGCTGAGGCTGAAGCTCTAATACTTTGGCCATCTGATGTGAAGAACTGACTCATTTGAAAAGACCCTGATGCTGGGAAAGATTGAAGGCAGGAGGAGAAGGGAGTGACAGAGGATGAGATGGTTGGATGTCATCACTGACTCAATGGACATGAGTTTGAGGAAACTCTGGGAGATAGTGAAGAACAGGAACCTGGTGTGTTGTAGTACATAGCGTTGCAATGAGTCGGACATGACTTAGCAACTGTACAACAACAACTTCTATCTAGTTCCAAATATATTGTCTTCACTACAGACAAAAACTGCATATTCTTTAAGAAATTCCTCTCCACTCTTCTGTGCCCTAGTCCCTAGCAACCACCAATCTGCTTCCATCTGTACAGATGTACCTGATATGGTTATTTCATATAACTGCAGTCATAAAATATGTGACCTCTTGTCTGACTTCTTTGAGGTACAGCCACACTGTAGTCTGTATCAATACTTCATTCCTTTTTATGGTTGAATAGTATTCTGTTATGTGTATGTTCCACAGTATTTTATCCATTCATCCATTGATGAATATTTGGGTTGTTTCCACCTTCTAGCTTTTGTGAATAGTGGTACTCTGAACATGTGTGTACAAGTACTTGTTTGAGTATATCTTTGTGGTTCTGGACATATCCTTATCCTTATTTGTTTTAGCTCCTGCTTGAACACATGTGCTTTTGTAATACCTAGTCAATTAAAGATACATGTAGTAGATAAANAACTAATGCTTTCAAATTGTGATGCTGGAGAAGACTTTTGAGAGTCCATTGGACAGCAAGGAAATCAAACCAGTCAATCCTAAAGGAAATCAACCCTGAATATTCATTGGAAGGACTGATAATGAAGATGAAGCTCCAATATTTTGGCCACCTGATGTGGAGAGCCAGCTCATTGGAAAAGACCCTGATGCTGGGACAGATGGAGGGCCGGAGGAGAAGGGGGCAACAAAGGATGAGATGGTTGGATGGCATCATCGACTCAATAGACATGAGTTTGAACAAACTCCAGGAGATAGTGGAGGACAGGGAAGCCTGGTATGCTACAGTCCATGGAGTCACAAAGAGTCAGACACAACTTAGCGACTGAACAATGAACAACATAGGTTCTTTAAGGGCTTTGCTTTTTGTGTAGCATATTTTTCTTAACTTCAGTTTCACCATAAACTTTATGGAGAGAGGTTCAGTGTGCACACTGGGTGGCTAGGTTGACCAGAGAACCAGATATATTAGTAGAAAAATAGGAAGAATTTATAGTCTTTCCGTGTGTGCCTTTTCAGGGAGCATTCTTCTGAGCTCCTCTTTTCTTCCCACTCTTCCTTCTCTAATAAGATACCATATACCAGGTTCTGTGTTAGACTTGGGCATAAGATGCACAGAAAATTGAGGTCATCTCTGCTCTTGTCTCAGGGGAAAAAGCACATACTGAATGCTGAACAAGTACCTTTCCATGTATTTTTGCTGAAGAGTGTAAAGTGCCAGCCAATTAAGGATTTGTCATTTGTAAAAGATCAGGCCTCTGAAGAGTAATACTTGAATTCTCTGTCAAAATATATTATTTTCCCTCAGCATTATTGCTTTCATAACTTTCTGAATGTTTTTGCATAAAGTTAAGAGAAGACATCTCAGAGAGGAGATTATGGGTTTTTGGGCAACACAGCTGTTCTTAAATTCCCCTTTGAAAGCAAGGAATTTCAGGGGACATTTTCCTCCTCATAACGTGTGCTGAAGTTTAATTAAGTTGGAATTTCACCTGCTTTTACTCCATCATTTTTTCTCATTTTTAAAGTGCAGACTTTAGAGTGATGGTCATTTTTCTTTATGTTCTTTTTGTATGGTACATGTCAAAACAAAATGGGCATTGTTGTTGGTTAGTTCTAAAAATGATGTATTTACAGTTTGTGTGGATAAACAATCTGATGCTAGTCAAAAACAATGTAAACTTTTGAACGGGGAGGGATTCATCTTGAAAATGAATCATGCTTTGGCGGTATTACCGTTGTTTGTCTGTGCTCTTTTTAGCAAAGTAAAGGAAACTGTTAAATAACAGTTGATATAGGGATATTTCCTTTTTACTTTCTGGAGGCAATCCAGTTTAAGTTAGGATTATTTTATCTATTTGCCATTTTTTACTGAACAGAGGATGTTTATTTATTTGAAACATAACTCTCTCTAAATATCTCTTTCGTTTCTAATCTTGTTGCCTGGACCTTAGGCTTTGTAAGGCATTCTTAAGATCCATGAACATGGATAGGAAAATATCTCAACTTTAGGTTTATGATCCCCTACCCAAAGTTAAATGTTTTCTTTCACTATGAATATAGACAACACATGCCAGTGATAGCAGTTCTTGTAACACTGTCACCAGTAAAAAAAAGATGCTTTTGTATCATATACAGAAAATATATTTTGAAGTCTTTTGAATTGTTGATATGTTTTGAAATATGGTTTGTGCTCATCATTGCTTGAAAATTTTTATATATTATTATGTAATGTTACTGCTTTTAATATTTATTTACATGTATTACTATAGCAGAACTTAAAATTTTAAAATAAATTGATAGCTTTACTTCAATATAATAATACAGTGTTCTTTTGTAATTCTGTATATTGTATCCCACGCATTTCTAAGTATTATTCTGAGAAAGAATCCACAGACTTTTCTGGGCTGTTGAAGTAGTCCACGACAGAAATGATTAAGAACTTCTTGTCATCATTTCTTACCTCATCTGTTTCAGTAGCTTCTAGCCTTTTTTTTTTTCTTTTAACTATTGGAAGCATTTTCTTTGTTAACCGTAAATACACTCTTCCACTTTCCTACTTTCAGTGTTTCACTGTGCTTTTCCGATGTTCTGGAAGGTTCTATCTTCCCAGCTTTTTGTCCCACCACACCTACATTTCCATACCCTTCCCTGAAAAGGCCACATATATTCATTTCTTGACATACTCTTCTAGAAATAATTTTTATTCCCTGAATGTTTACTAAAACCCTACTTCATTCTGATCTAGCTAACAGTGGCACTTCATCTCTTAAACCTTTTTTAAACATCTCTGAATGTTGTGTCCTCTGTATCAGGTTTGGTCTTGGCACTGTGCACATAATTTTATTATATTTTAGTGTGTTAATTGTTCATTGGCATGCCTGTGTCTCCCAGTAGACTGACCTCTATGAAGAGATGATCTTTTTCTTATTTATATTTATATCTTGATACCTCATGTAGTATTTGGTAAAATGTGGATTCTAAGTCTTCAAATGAAAGTTTTCAAACATCTATCAAGGTTTTCTAATAAAAACAATTCATTACTTGTCAGAATGAAGAACTTTTCATTCATGGTAATGTTGCTTTTCATTTTAACATCTATAAGATTCTTTCATTTTATTAAAGAACTTTTCATTAATGTTATTATGTTCCTGAGCTCTAAGGATACAGCAGTGAATAAAAAAGGAAAACATCTGTATTTCCATGGAGCTGACTTTCTAGTGGAGTGATGTGGATGATTCATAGGATAGATGGTAGGTGGATGGATGGATAAACAGGTAGTTTTATGTGCTATAGGATAGAGTAAAGGAAGGGAGGTAGGGTGTACTGGCGAAGACGGCAGTTTGAAATTAGGCTGCTTCCAGCAGGCCTTACTGAGAAGATGACATTTGAATAGAGTTCTGATGGAAGTGTGGGAGGAAGTCATGCAGATACCTGCAGAACGTGTTCCAGGCAGAAGAAACAGCCAGTGGAAAACCCCTGAGCTGGGAATGTGTCTGGAGTGTCCCTGGAGAGGCAAGGAGACCCATGTGGTTGGGAAACATCACGCAAGCCGCAGAGTAGAAGATGCGGTCAGAGAGGAAGTGCAGCCAGATCGTGTCAGCCTTTGACTTTTACTCAGAGTGAAGTGGGGTGGCTGTGGAGGGTTTTGAGTGACGTGGCAAGACTGCAGAAAAGAGATGTGTATTGAAAATGCACCGTCTGACAAGATGAGAACCCTTCCGAGACCAGTGAAGAGGGTATCGTAGAGATCCAGGCGAGGGAAGAGAAGTCAGGGTGACCAGTAAGGCTTTTGGCCTGAGCACCTGGAAGGGTGGGACTGCTGTCACAGGAAATGAGGATCACAGGGGTAAAACAGGTTTGGGGATAGAGACAGGATCAGAAGTTTTGGACATGTTTACTTTAAGAGGGATCTTGACCTACTGATGCTAGGTAGGTAGGTGGTTTTATGAATCTGGAGTTCAGTGGGAAGGAATAGGCTGAGAATAAATGTTGGGAAGGCATAGATAAAGAAAGCCAAAGCAGGAGGAAATCACGTAGTAAGTGAATGAGTATGAACAGATGGAGATGTCCCAGGTCTGAGCCCTAGGGCCCTCCAACTTTAAGTACTAAGTGGCATAGAAAGAAAGTCACACATGAGAAATCCTAGAGGCCAAACAAAGACATTTTTTTTTCCTGAGAAAAGGGAGGGAGTGATTAATGTGTTAAATTCTGCCAATAGGACAATTAAGATAAGGACTGAGAAAAACATAGAATACCATTGCATTTAGTCAAGAGAGGACATGTGGCTTTGATAAGGGCAATTTTGGTGGAGCCATGGGGGCCTGATAGGGGTGGATTTTATTAAGGATGGGAAGAGAGAAATTGGAGGTCAATATTGACAGGAAAATGGGGAAAAGTTAGAGGGCAAAGCTGGAGTGGGAAATGGCAACCCACTGCGGTTTTCTTGCCTGGAAAATTCCGTAGATGGAGGAGCCTGGCGGGCCGCAGTCCGTGGGGTCTACAGAGGGTCGGACTCGACTGAGCACGCATGCACTCACACTAGAGGGCAAAGAGAAAACTGCTTCTGTTTTCTCAGAGAAATAGGAAATGAATGTGGTTGCGGGTATTGGGAGCTTCAAGGAGACAGGCAGATAGTCCTCTGGGACATGAGGACTAACCTTTACCAGTTAGGAAGTTTTTGCTGAATGAAGAAACCCCTTCTGCCACTATTATTTATGCTTCAAGCAAATTTAATTACTTGCTTTTGCTTTTCAGCTTCAGTCGACACCTTGTTTCTGCACCTGAATTGCTTTCTGCTTATTTCTTCAGGTAAATGTTGAATGCGTCTTGGCAGCTCAGCTCAGCTCTCAATGTGCTTTCTCCCTCTTAACATAAAGTGCCTAACTCCGCTGTTTGTTTCTTCTGTAAGTTCTTTATCTGGATTTATTGCTTACTGCTTTCTACCTATTATTTTTGATGATCTCCATTATTAACTGTGACTTCCTTTGGGAGTCAGTTGGAGGACCTGCAGTCACACTTCCTGTGGTGGAAGCTGGGTGACTTTCTGACTCCGTTAATTTAAACACAGAACTTGCTCTACCTGTGCCTTAATTCTCTATCAGTAAAATGGGGATAATAAAATTACCTCCCTTAGAGGGTTACTGTGAGGATCAAAGCACTTTGAATGGTGTCTGGCACATATGAAATAACTCAGGAAAAGATTAGCTGCTGTGATTAGTTTCATTATTGATTTTGTTTATTATTGAGGAGGTATATAGGACCGTTCACTATTCATATTTTTTATGGTAGCTTATATGCAGAAAAGAGAGTAAATGAAGAATTCATCCAATAATAAACGACTGAAATATAATTGTGACCTTATTTGTGTATAGGATCTTATAGCATTATTAGACTCAAAATTGCTAAGTTGATTTCTGACGTTTCTTAATGTGTCTGACTCTTTTTGACTCCATGGACTGCAGCACACCAGGCTTCCCTGTCCTTCATTATCTCCTGGAGTTTGCTTAAACTCGTGTCCATTGAGTTGGTGATGCCATCCAACCATCTCCTCTGTTGCCACCTTCTCCTCCTGTCCTTAATCTTTCCCAGCATCAGGCTCTTTCCCAATGAGTTGGTTCCTCACATCAGGTATCCAAAGTATCGGAGCTTCAACTTCAGCATCAGTCCTTCCGATGAATATTCAGGGTTGATTTCCTTTAGTATTGACTGGTTTGATCTCCTTGCTGTCCAAAGGACTCTCAAGAGTCTTCTCCAGCACCACAGTTTGAAAGCATCAATTCTTTGGTCCTCAGCCTTCTTTATGAATGTGATACCATACATTAGGAAATATAGTTGGATAAATTAATCCATCCATTCTCTGGCCTTTGCATTTCTTTATTTTGCAGATTTTCCAGTTTAGATTCAGGAATATGGCGGTTACTATGTGATAGGGCTTTCAAGGAATTTATTTTTTCCTGTTTTTTTTCCGTTGCATCAACAGAGGGATTTTGGATTCACTTCTGTGGTTCTCAGAGGTGTCCCCTTCCCATTAAGTCATAGGTCCTCAAGGGAATCATAGCTTCAGGCATCTGAGTTCCAGATTCTGCTTCTTTCAAATAAAATGGAAGTAGTTGATGAGACTCTGAGTCCTGTAGATGGGGCCTCCTTGGACTTGAAGTCTCCCTATTTTAATAAAGTGCTTCTAAGTAACTGGTAGCATCACTTTTCTTCTTGGCATCTATATGAGACATTCTTTGTTTCTGTTAGAAACTCTGTTTATAGCCTTCATTTGATGGTTTATTGTAATTACTTTTGTTGATCGGTAGTTTTCTTGATACAGACCACATCACAATTGTAAATACAAAGCAACCACACATTTCAACCTTATACAGTTTCACCTCCTTAAGACAATCAATAATAATGTGATGTTTCTTGACTTCTCTTTCCACATCACTGTTTACTTGTGGATTGAAGTTTCCATTTGTATGTTTTAATTTTTGCCAAGAAAAATCAATCATGTGCACTGTAGCTCTGCTTTAAATTTTATGCCTCATATGACACAGAGTATATATATAGTATATACATGCTAAATGGATAAAAATCTTCTTTTAGGCTATCATAGTTTAGTACCTTTTTTTTAAACTGGTTGCATGTACTTTCTTGTAGTGCCTGTGAAGTTTCTAATTTGTTTTTTTAAGTCTAATAGTTTTCCTAGTGAGTCTTTTTCTTATAAGTTATTTGATCATCTTTGTCTTTACATTTCTATGCACAAAAATTATGTATACTTAAAATATTTTCATGTCACTTCCTCTTGTTTCTCAGAGAGGGCTGATGAGTTCTTTAGGGAAAGTAGATTGAAAAGAGAGGCCTTATAATAAATACTGTCCTGAAAACAAAGTGCTTCTATTTCAGAAGCCCTAATTGAAGAAACCGTCTACTAAATAAAGATAGCATGATTTTTTAATAGATTATTTTATAGAGTAGTTATAGGTTCATAGCAAAATTGAGAGGAAGTTTAAGATAACATAGTTTTGAGAAAAATAAAATTACCTATGGAATATCTTTAAAAGCTCTTATATTATCTCTAAATTTTACTTTATATTAAATTTAATACAATAAAACATCTATTTGACTATTTTATCTTTTGTCTATATCATTTGTAATATGGCTTATTTTTCTCTCTTTTAAAATTTTATTCCTTAAAATAAATACTGGCTTAAGTAGTTATAAATTGAAGCTAAATTGGCACTTTTTGTTTTGCTCCTTACTGTTTATGAAATATTTTGTGTTTTCTCTGTTTTTAACTTTGGCATGTCAGAGACTGCAGGTTTCAAATTTTGTTTTAAAATGGTTATTGAGACACGCCTCTAGAGGGCGATCTTTTCTAAACTTTCCCATGATTTCAATCATGGCCGCCCTGGCATGAACCTGGTGTTCTATGGATATTGAAGCCGTCTAAGATTTTGTAATAACTTAGCTTCCTTTTTATTATGTTTTCTATGATTTATTCCTCAAAGTCTTATTACAGAATTGAATTTTTGAAATAAATTACTGTCATTTATTATCTAGTTTTAGTATCTCATCCAGGTACCTAGCTCCTGTGAATGAATTTAGGGAGTTGAATGAAGGCAAATGTTTTAGTTAATCATTGGAGGGAGTGGTTTCTGTGTGTTCTAACAGTTCCTTTCTTTGTTTCTCTACGTATTGCTATTCAAGGATCTATCTCTGTACTTTATGGGAGCAGTGATTACACTCCACTATTGAGGCATCAGTAGGCCTGATACTTTTCTGCTAACATTTGGAGTTTTATTTTTGTTTACCTATTGAATAAAATTTTTGTACCAAAGCAGTACATACATTTATTAAAAAGTAACATGATATCACAATTTAATAATGAAAAATTGCACTCTCCTGCACCCACTGCTCCCACTCAGAGGCTTTAATTCTTGATAATTTATTTCTTGCTGTTTTGGGTTTTCTTGCCCCTTTCTCGAAATCATGTCAGTTGGGTAATGGATATCCTACACTGAACCCCTAACTTCCTTTTCTATTTTCTATCTCTTTGTCTTTTTGTTTTACTTTAAAACAGTATCCCCAACTTTATCTCCTAACCTGCTTATTGCATTTTAATTTCTACAGTATGTTTTTTTATTTCTACAGGTTTTTAAATTTCTGCAATATGCTTTTAATATCCTTTTCTGTGAATGTTTCTTTATTATCTCACCCTTTTCTTATTCTATAGATGTAAAATTGTTTATCTTTTTTAAAGGTAGTTATAATTTTTGATCCATTTCTTTGCTCCTTGTAAGAGGATTTGGCTTATCAATTTGCAGGTAAGCTTAGTCTTAGTTTTCCAGTGAGGAAGGTAATTAAGTAGGAAAATTCTGATACCCAATGATCAGTGTCTGCAGGAGTGACCCAAGTAAACAGATTTAGAAATTATGAGACTTGGGAATAGCAGCCATGAGCAGTCTTGAACTTAAGAATCTGAGCAGGAAGTAAAAACCTGACTGCTGGCTTAAAGTTTGCAAACTGCAGAAGGGTATGGTGAGTGGGGTCGGTGCTGTGCCGGGGTTACACAGAAATAGAAACCATAATGGTTTCTGTTGAGAAATAGAAACTATAATGGTTCTTAGCATAAAATGACATTTAGAATTTGGAGAAGGATGAGAAAAGGAAAGGGATTTAAGGTTCATTGAAAGAGTTATTAACATTGGATGATGTGTTTTTGCAGGTGAGAATATTGAAGCTAGAATGAAGCCCAAGAGTGAAGCTGTTTCAGAATGGCTAGGGTGGAGTTAGTGTGGGCATTGCCATTGTTGGCAGCTTCAGACGAGACAAGGCATTCCCTTTTCAGTGCTGAGAATCTTTCCTAGTCAGGAATTAACAAATGTTCAATAATATTTCACTCCTGTCTAATTTGAAGTGGATTAAAACATGTACACTTTGATAAAATCATGGATGAAAGAAAATATAAAGCGACAGTACTGTTAATTGAATATGGTTTTCTGGCAGCAATCCAGCTGATTAACAAAAAGTGTTTCTGCTAAGGCAGCAGAGATACAAGGAAGGTGGTAAGAGTCTTCGTTCTCAGTGCCCAGGTAGGGTCAGGTGTTGCTCTTCTTTGTGATTTTCTCCATCAAGGACTTTCTATCAAAAGTAGTTTTTAATATAAACAGGTAAATTTATGGTTTTTGTTTTTGGAGAAATACATGTAGAAGACAAAAACTTGAACTGTTTATTAATGTTCCTAGGGTATACTTGGACTTATTTCTTTTTCTTTTTTGATTGGTGAACAGTTCTCTCTCACACATTGTTGATAATTTAGGCAGCTAAATTGAGTATGGGTTTCCTGTTTTCTTCTTGAGAAGAACATGTAAGCATATTTTAGATAGAATGCTATTTAAGTGTTTTTAAACTGGAAATAAAATATATGTGAGTATAAAATGTTTTATCTTCCCTTCTGTCAAAAATGCTGATTTGACTCTTTTGCACAGTACTCCCATCTTTGTATGGTTGTTAAAATCTGTTGCTCTTTCCCATCTGAAGGAAATGCATCTTTGACACTTCTCATGACCTGAGTCATGATGCTGAAGTGGAGCCAGAAAATATCCTTAATGGTCATGAGTTAAAAGAAGGAAGGCTTCTATGGAGTGGGGGTAGGGGAGCGAGAAGGAGGTTGTGGGGAGCATCTTTGCTATTGCTATTTTGAATTATGTCTTTTTGATTATTAGGAAAGTTGCTTCCAGTGTACTACGATAGTTGTTATTCAGCAGAAAATACTTGGATTTTAATCTTTAGTTCTTCCTTCAGTATGTGGTGTTTAATGT